AAGTACCACGGGGGGGACTGTGTGCACCATGGGCCAGGGATACAGGGCAGACCAACGCAGCGCAGAAGTATAAATCAAGAGGCTGCGTCCAGCCATTGATTCATTCCTGCGGATGCCATGCAGAAGCGCTGCCTTAGCAGCTTGTGCGAGGAGGTCTGCAGTGTGCCCGAAGACGAAGTGGGCAGAGAAGTGTAGTGTAGCGATAGGTAGTGGCAGCTAGCGCTGCCATAGCTGTAGCATAGCGTGTGTGTGTGTTGCGTATGATACTGAGTGTTGCGTGTGGGACATCCAGGGCGATCCAGAGTGCGAACAGTGAGTTGTGTGGACGCCCAGTCGCCATAGCCAGTTGAAGAGAACTCATATCTGGTTACGATATCTTAAGTACTGTCAGGGCGCATGTCGCCAGTTGCTGTATCGCTGTTTGCATGCAAGACGAGTGTGAATAATCGGAGTGTGAATGCATTTTGTAGGTCGGGCGAGAAAGGCGGAAGGAGGTAGGAGGGATGGAGGAGAGACGGCAGGGGATGCAAGGGCGGGGGTAGTGAAGTCGGTGACAAAGGAGGAGAGGAGGAGAGGGGCTTAGTGGAGTAGGGTGCATAGGAGGCACGAAGGGGGAACGGAGGCGGGGGAAGAGGGCGGAAGGAGAAGTGGGGGGGTTGGGGGTTTATGCCACTAACCTAAATCTGCCATCTTTGAGCAGTGTCCACGCGTCCTCAATCATTCAACGCATGCCAATCAACGGGCCGAGTACAGCTCACGGCCCAGCACAGCTCCCGCCAACCACAGTCCCGAGATCGCCAGGCCCACCACAACTAGCGGCCAACCCGTCCACCGAACACCAGGCTCGCCACATCCAACGGCCAACCACAGTCGAGAGAGAGAGGGAAGGAGGGAGGACGAGAAAGATAGGGTGTGTGTGCGTGTGTGTTTATTAAAACTCCGAATTCTCTATCTCATTCCATACTTGGTTCGTCATAAATCATCCATAGAACAAAAAAAATAGGTATGTAAGATAGTAAGAGATTCAAGGTTGGCCACCTATGTGTGGTTAAGCGCCAATGCCCACACACCCGTCTGCAGCCGAAGCGGCACACTTGCACATATATATATGCATACATTTTATATTCCACATAAGGGCAAACGGCAACATACCAAGCACAGAAGGCTCCACCAACAAGAAGGACCGACCCCACCACCAATGGTCCAAAAAAACTTGGAAAGCCCCCCGAGTCGATCCACGAAACAACAAAATTAATTACATAAGCACAACAGCACTGGCACTGCTATTCATTCCAAACAACCCACTCACGCCAACACCACCTCTATCACTCAATGGCTAGACATCCCCCATTTGGAAGCGCAGGATAGAGTATGACATGCGAAGGGCAGGGGAGAGGGGTATGACGAACTTTGCAGAACTCAACACTCACTGCTGGAAGATACTACTCTCAAATGGCACATGGGGTTAGTTTAGTGTTTGGGTTGCCTAAGCTTTTGCGTTGAGGAGCAGATTTTGCCTATGGTGGCCACCCCTACAGACCAGACAGGACCGGTTCGGGTGTGGACTATGGAAGCACCACATCCAATTTTTGCAGTCACAGTTATGCAGACAGATGTCACAAGCTATGTGGCTCCTACATGCTAGTGTGTGTTCACTGTGTTGTTATAGCACCCCAAATTCTCTGTCTCACTTCCTCCACAAGTCATAACCATCCATTCATAACAACAAGTATAGATAGCTAGTATAATAGAAAATGCTCGGTTGGCCACGTTTGTGTGGTTCAGCGCAAAGTGCCCACACACCCGTCGCCGCCGAAGTGGCACACTTGCACATATTTAATCCATCAAAGGGTGGAAGGCAAGAAGCAACTTAACTAAGACAGAGGACTCCACCAGCAAGAAAGCACCGACCCCATACTCCATAGGTCTGAAAAAACTTGGAGAGCCCTCCACGTCGGCCCACAAAACCACAAAACACCATCATAACACAAACGGCTCCACTAACAAAAAAGCACCGACCACACATGCCAATGGTCTAAAAAAAAATTAGAGCCCTCTGTGACGGCCTACAATGCCACTACAAATCAAAAATACACCGCAGGACCTGAACGCAGTTCCAAAAGTGTTATGAACCTCCCCCTGCCGTGCAACCTGCAGAATTGGACGATGTCCTAGCGCTACAGCGAGTCCACTGTGAGTACTATGCCAAATTCCACAAGATTTCAGCGCCACACCAGGAGTGTGTGTGTGTGTGTGTGTGTGTGTGTGTGTGAGAGAGAGAGAGAGAGAGAGAGAGAGAGTCGAGTGCGGCTTAGGGCGCTCCAAGACACGACACAAGGCGCTTCACAACATGACGCAGGGCGCTTCACCACACAGGGCAGACGGTAGAGGACCGATACCCAACACCAATGACAACACACGCAACAACAGCTGATGTTGCCCCAGGACCGAAGTTCAAGGAAAAAGGGCACGGATCAAAACGGCACTGATCGAATGCGCCCGTTGCCTGCCATCTAGGCCGTTGGGCCCGAGGTACTGGGCCGACGGGCTCAATTCAGGCACAGTCTGAAGATCTTAAGACCGTGTACATCCAGGCCGTCGGTCCAGTAGGACCCAACGGCCTGGATTTAGGTGCGTGCCGTGCGTGCCCTTAAGATCTTAATCGCAGATTTGTTACATACTTCCAACGATCTGGGGCGTGGGCTGTTACGACCGACAGCGGCCCAGATCTTAAATTTGTCACGTTAGCGATTTTAATAGTGTAGGGATACTCATCCATCGTCATAAACAACACCATTAATTCATTCACGATTGACTGCCTACCGTCTCCGCCCAAATAGAACGCCTGGTGATTATCACTGCACCTGGACTGAACGTTCCCCCAAATACAGTTACAAACTTACAATGACTGGCCATTCTATTAGGGTGAAGACGGTAGCACTTGTGTCAAACAATCCTGGCTGCGGTTGCATACATCAAGCCCTCTAATCCCACACATAGACACACCCTTGCCTCGTGGTTCTCCCGGCAGACGTTCGGCACATCAGCACCTTGAGCTACCGGTATGTCCGGAGCTGTTTCCACCAATCCGAAAGTTTCGTATTCACGGAAACTCACTCTTCTTTTCTGCCTGGGGTGCGTAGTGGTGGATAAAAGACGCCACATGTATGTGGGTCCATACACTTCACTTGGGTGCCAATGAGAAAGAATCCAGAATGATTACTGGTTTGGCCTTTTGTGCTCATACCTCCCAAAGCCTGGAGCCTCCCTCCACTACTCAACATTCTTCATGTATGTGGACTGGAATTGGACCAGATACTCCGGGGCGGATCCAACATTTTGAATGCATTGCATCCATTATTAGCTCAAGATACATTTAGAAGCTTGTGCAGTGGAGCAAGGCCCCTGGTCAATCAGTCACCAAATCCAAACAAGCTTCCATACCCAGGGTCAGTACCATAGACTGCCACCAAATGCACCAGATCTCTTCTCAGCAATGGTGAAAGATAAGCAACCACCTTGGTCACCACCATCACGAGTTTCGTCTTTCACGCTCAACAACAGCAGCTGAAAACAAAAGAATGAATACACAGCAAGATCAAGACTCCATTCACTCTGACTGCTTACAGAAAGCCTAGGGCTTCATTTCAGGCTTGATATGCTTGCCATCAATGAAAAATGCATTCTTTGATGAACCAAATGTCTTGAGAAAAGCCTTTGCATCATCCAGCTCAGTTTTCTTCCGCCTCTTATCCCATTTCTTTTCTGCTGCAAGTATGTCAACCACTCTTGGAAGCGCCTGCAGTGCAGCTGCAGTGTCGAGAAAAGCCAGACGCGATCTTCGTGCAATGAAATCGATAGCCGATTCACAAAATTCGTTACGAGTGCAGTAGGCGACTTCGGCTTCAAGTACTGGATATCCATGGGCCAACCGCTTCCCAAGATTCTCAACCTGCAAAATTCAAATTTCAGTTCAGAAAGAAGTGTAAGGGAGGTGGCAACGGGCCTAGCTCAGTTGGTATGCCCATACAGACCCAAGTCCGAATCCAGATAGAATTTAAAAAAAAAAAGAAAAAAAAAGTGTAAGGAAGGTGGGCACAGTAACTCTCCCTTATAATCTTCAACACTATAACAGAATTCCTCCACACGGAAATCGAAAAACAAAGGGAGGCCAGAGGAAGGAACGATCAAAATAATGCCCCTTGCCTGTTGTCGTCACCTTGCCAACAAAACCTTAAAAATGAGCCTCGAAGTTAGACTGCCAGACCCGATCAAAGCTAGGCCAGGCTCCATCGTGCATAAACCTATAGAGCCCAAGATTGACCATTTCAAGCGAAAACCGGCAGTACTTTTCCCAGCTATGTTGTTCCCACGTGGCTTCCCAGCAATGTTTTTGTCCCCACACGGCCATTGAATGTGCTGTGACTTTTGAGGCTCAGCCTGCCGAATTTACAAGAGGCTGGTGCGAGGATCTGAGTCCTCGGCAGGCCTAAGGCGCCCCGGTTACAGTGGTGCCCGCCCTAAGTGAAGGCGGGCCTAATATTTCACAAGAGGCCTTTGACTGTCAATTTCATATTTGGGGTACAGGCAGTTGCGATGCGCCAGTTGGTTGAGAAAAAAACGCAGGCCGAGCAACAAAGACATTTCCACGGCCTACCGGGCCTTTCCAAAGCATGCAGGCCCTGGGCGTGA